AATATGATTGAGAAATTTCGATTGGAGTAAGGTTCCGATGATAACGATGGATTCCGAAAAACTCCCATTTTGGCAGATTTTCGCTTTTCACAGATTTTCACCCACTCTGATTTTCCAACTTCTTAGCACCATATCTGAAGAAAACCTCAATCCAACCCAACCCACTGCAGTTGAACACAAAATTTAACGAAGAGGCGAAGCACAACATAACTTTTTATTGAACGACAAACGCAATGACAATGCATTTCCTTTTATAAAGGAACAGAAAATGGGCCGCATTGACCATACTTTACTTGCTTACAATTATTCCAATAATAAACACGAAATTCTTATTTTTGCTTTTGGGTGGGATGCTGAGATGTTCTCTAAGAAAACGCTCAAGTGAATCAGTTACAAGAAATTAGCACGAGTATAATACGTGCAACATAAGTCCTATAGATAAACATCTATCAGGCCGAATACATTTGTACATTTTTACTGAAAATCCTTGTGGAATAAGCACACACGTGGCTCTCCCAACAAGAAAAATCCCTGCTCTACAGGGCAGCCCATAAATACTCAAGTAAGCATTTAGAAAACTATTTTTTAAATTAGCAACTCAAACAAAATCCTACTAAGATGAGGACCCTTTAAAAAGGTAAAAACAGAAGGAAAAACTTACATGGAAACTTTAAGGCAGCGATCACGATGGCTGGAGGAGCGGTGCAATACCGAAAACGTCACTAAACGTCTTTAGTAGACTAGACCTTCAGCGCGTTGGGGGTGTGGTTGATACCACCTTATGACATCCCTCCACCAATGACGTTCAACGATGTCATCAAAACCGCAAAGCCCTCCAGCAATCGTTACCAATGCCCCTAACATAAGAAATCAACCTCAACCAAAATCTTAAGCTGAAACGTTTGCCTAGATCAGTACAGTTTCCTTTTGAGCACCCTATTTAGTCACGCTGCTATTGAGACTGGTCATGCCATCAACGATCCAAAAGTTAATATCTCTCAAGCCTTACGTCGATTCCAGTAACGATGCTTATAGAATTGAGGGTATAGATCAGAAAACAGTACTTGATCGAGGCTTGCAATAAAATGAAGCAGCTTTGGGCTCTCCTGTCCGTATTACAAGATAAAATATAGAGCAAATGGTGAAAACCATCAATTGCAGGTGACGCTGCGTGTCTCATTAAAAAAAGCTTTTCGTGCTTCCAAACGAGCCATTCTCTCTTCAAGCCAATGAAAACGCCTGTCTTCTCTGCTTCTCAAATCTTCCAACCACGTCTTCCTTGCCAATAGTTCCTCTTTAGGTTCCGCATTCAGGAGAGCAATAAGAGCTTCTGTTCGTGCTTTCTGAAATGTCCGCAGCTTAATTGAGGTCATACTGTACCCAAATGAAAAGCAAGTAAATTGCAGGAGGTAAAAAAATCAAAAAAAGTGAAAAATTCTATTAGACATTACGCAACAGTCCGCAAAAACACTTGCAGCATCGGCACCATTGTTAGCGAAATTCGTGTATCCCCTTTTTCGTCCCTTTTGGATGACGAACAAGCGCCAGTACTCCGAGGGTAATATAATAAAATGCGAGGGGAGGGAGCAACCCAAATTTATCCCTCCTAATTTAAACTAAACTTATCTAATTGTTAACTCAAACCGAATGCTTCCGACTAAAAAATTTGGAGCACATTCGTAACCAATACGTTTCTAATAGCCCCTCAACACGTGCGACAATCAGGAGAGGGAACATAGTAAGGCGAGGTTGGTCAGGCTTAACGAGCACTTCAGTAGTCGTAAACAAATTCGCACGTTGTCTACAGTAGAGTTCCACAAGTCAGGCTAACACGCTCTAGGAACTGTTCAGTTGCACAGTCAGAGCTACAACCTCTAGGAAACTGTTCACCAACCCTAGAGCAAATACACCCTAGGCCTTTTGGGTACGATGGCGATGGTGGACTTCATGTTCTGAAGATGTTGAGTGCAGTGAGCAAGGACTTGCTTCTGCTTTCCTCCTGGAGAGACATCTCAGGGATTACTTGCCGTAAAACTTTTAAGCTGGCGGCACAACGCGCAACGAAAAGTTTGCTGTTGTGCGCCAACAGTATTGTTGGCCCTCTTTCTGATTTTTATTTTTAGAGCCTGACAGTGTAACATAGCGCCTCCATAATAACAGATGCCACAGTCCGCGACAGACGCGTTCGCAGCGCGTACGCAGCAAAACGCGGCTCGAGAAATACGTATTACGAGGAAGCGCGTATCGCGAAGGAACGCATGAGAGGAAACGGATGAAATCGAACTACGCTAAGCGAGAGCGTGTGCCTCCTCTTTTCGAAAAAATAGATGTGAGTTGCTATCGAGGTTCTTCTCTTCATATGTTCGTAGGATAATTAATGGGGGTTCTTTTGATAGATAGCAGAAGCAAGCTGGAGTGGACGCAGACACACATTCCCTCTCTCATCGCGTTTTCCAAAAATCCCGACTCCCGTAGCAGAATCTGAGATATGTAACACGTTCCGAATCAAGTAGCCATGGGCTGCCATATTATATCCAAACAGTGAAGCCTATTTTAAAAGTTTTCAAATGTTTAATTCTAACTGTGCCTCTTTCAATCCATTTTCATAAGAGTTCCACCCCGAGTTCTAGAAGCACTAAAGCGACAGAATAGCGAAGTTTCCTTCTCACAAACAAATGCTTCACCTCATCTCCTTCGACCTTTAACATGAAATTAGACTAACAAGGATGAACTAGAGAATGTACGGTACGATTTTACAGCTGTTGACGCTCACGAGGAAACAGAAATTTCTTACCAGAGTAATAATAGAAGAGGAAGTTGCGTCGCACTCCGCTTTGAGTTCATCCACGACTTTTTGCTGAAATCCTTGTCAATAATGAATTCTCTGAGAAGGAGTGCTCCTAACTTGGAGGCGCAGCTTTCCGTAGGGTGAAACATAGTGAGCCTTACATTTTGTAGATCTTCATTCCGTTTATTGAAAGCACGAAGAACTCGATTCAGGACATGTCGAGGCTTCTGCATAGTTTCGATCTGACCGAGGTTTTCAACAGGTACACGTGCCGAAGGCTTGCGATCGCAAGGAGCATCAACCTTGCTGAAGATTAAAAAGTGAAATAAAACTATAATACTAATGACTGAAAGCCCTCGACATCTAATAACCAAAAACAACTCAGGTCTACGAAAATCATCCCAGGGAACTCAAAATACTCAAAATATCCAGATGTTTTTCTTCCGAACATTTGTGCTATATTTCACACCACCACGTGCCTGTAGTCTTTTTTGAAAAAGCTGTCGTTTTTCAGTTTTCCAGGTTTTTTTTGGAAGCGGAATTTCTGTAGCTGCACATTAAGGAACCAATTTATCATTTATTTTGAAGATTCAGTCAGAATTCATCAGTTTCTGCAAATAACATCAGCAGTTTCAACAAAAGACGAAAGGTGAACAATGCTTTAAAAAATAATCCAAACCTCGCGGCATGGTGATTCTTCATGCGCTGCCTTTCGAGTAACTGTTCCCATTCCTCTTTTTGTGACCGTAAGTGCTCGATATACGCGAGAGTTTGATTTTTTCTTTGGACGAGTTGCGTTACCTTGAATAAAATTTACAGCGCTAGTACTAATGGCTGAACACGTTGGCACGTTCAATTTTCTCGTGCCTCCCGTATGGACGTATGGACCGCGTTTTTTTTTTCAATATTTTAGAGAAGCTGGGACCCTTCCACACCAAGTTGTGAATTTAAAGGAAAATTCCACGAGAGGTCGAAGAAGGCGGAACCTACCCAGTGCAAAATAGCTCCCGTCAGGATGCAGACTGACAAGCAATTCCAGCAAAGATATGCCCCAGCGATCTAGAATGGCCACCTTCGCGCCGCCATCGTCGTTGCCCGCTTCCCCAAAGCCGCCTAACCGGGGGCCATCCCCACCCCGGGGCCACCAACCCACCAACTAAACAGAAAAAAAAAAAAACAAAAAACAACCTAGTTCGCTGTTACCAGCAGGCGAGCGTTAGCGTTGAGGAGCTTCGGAGTACCGGGCAGATTACTAATGCCGAAAAGCCAGCAAGCAGGAAAGGAGACCCATCTCTTTCTAAAATTAAAACTGCGTTTACTCTATAAGTATTTCGTCAGATTCCTGCACTGCTGCAACTTCTCCTTAAACTCGTCAGTTGAGGTATTTTTTCATCGTCTGATTCACACTCCGCTCTAACGCAGAAAATGTTAGGAGATCGCAAGTCTCAAATCTTTTCCGATTGTTTCCAAACCTAAGCGTTAGTTTTCTCTTTTGCCCAAGGGGATTTCGGAACAAAATAAAAAAGGCTAGAATCACATAAATCAACCTGCACTAGAATATACTATGCTAGAGCAATTTTCCAATCCAGAATCCACAAACGGGGCCAGATTCAGATCTCATCACGGTTTTTGCCTTCAATTGTTACTCGTATGTAGCACCAAGTTTTCAGTCGATTGGCGTTAATAGACATCTGCGGCAAGTTCGTGTTAATGCCAGCAAAAAAAATATGTTAAAACCAGTAATAGCCGCGAAAAATGTCGAACAGTTGGCAAAACAAAAAATTCGAGCAGAAAAAGAAACCAAAATGAAAGGTTTGAAGGAAAGCTCATCGGGGAACATCATTACATTAGTTACGACATTTGCAAAGAGGTATGCACTCATACATTCGTCTGGAGTTACGGGTTTACCCACAATACTGTATTAGATTGCTATCGCATGCAAGCGCTCTTATGAATCAGCGAGTTGAGGAAGCGTTCCGGACTCCGGACTGGAATCCGGAGCGATGACGTTAGGGGTCGCGCTCCAGTCGCGTTGGCTAGTCGGTTCCTTATGATGTTCGTTACTTTTCTTCTCGAACCGCACGGCTTTTAATGAGGTCATTTCGTAAATACCTGCATCCGGATGTCTGGAAAATTCGTTATCATCCGGTTGGAGGTTTGGCCAATATTTTACCATGAGCGCACCGGCACCCACAGCTCACTCGCTTGCCAAGGCTACCGTCGCCAAGGCAGGAAACTGGACGTCTTGTGGACCAGAATGGGCTGGAAAGCCAGAATGCAGAAAAAATCGTCTTCAGACTGGCTAAAGCCCCGCATCGGACTACTGAAAACATCAGGAGTGTGAAGAGCAGCAACGGCGTTGTCCTGAGAAAGAGTGTGAAGAGCAGCAACGGCGTCATCCTGAGAAAGCCAGCCGAAGTCTGGAGGAGGTGGGAAGAGTACTTCAGAGGGCTTCTGAACGAGGAGTTCCTCACAGACACTCACAAGCAGAGGCACGGCTGGCCCATCTCACTCTGGACAGAGGATGAGGTTCAAGAACTTAAGGAAGATGAAGGTTGGAAAGGCGGTTGGTCCAGATGGGGTGCCAATCGAGGCATGGAAGGCGCTCGGAGAGTACGGGATAAGGATGGCTCACCAGCTTCCTGAACAACACACTGCGGAAGGAAGGATGCCGGATGCCTGGAGAACAAGTACTATCGTCCCCATCTTCAAGCAGAAGGGTGACGCGATGGACTGCTCCAACTACCGCGGGATCAAGTTGACTGCTCATACAATGAAGCTGTACGAGCGACTGGTCGACTCGAAACTGCGGGAGCTGGTCCCGATCTCCCAGGAACAGTTCGGGTTCATGCCCGAAAGGTCTACAACGGATGCCATCCATCGCCAGGCAAGTGATGGAGAAGTATCGAGAAAACGCCGACCCTGCTGCTAGCTAGCCTTCCTCGACTTGGAGAGGACATTCGACCGTCTACCGCGAGCACTACGCTCAGGGAACGGAACGTGTCAAAATTCCTGATATTGCTGGTAAGGATATGGACGATGGGGCTAAGACAGCCATACACACTCCACATAGCCTAACAAAGGAGGTACAAATTACGATTGGGTGTTTATTAAAGGTCAGTTCTGATTCCGTTCTTCTTCCTCCCAGCAGCAGCACAGTGTCACGGTGAGCGTCTATGGAAAGACCACTAAAGACCATCTTCTATGCTGACGTCATCGCCCTGACAGCAGATAGCAGAGAAGAACTCTATGGCGAGGTGCACACATGACAGGAAGTGCTAGCAGAAAGTGGGCACCAGCTGAATGTCAAAGAGACTAAGTTCCAGAGTTCTTGAGAAGGTACGAGCCGATCGTGGACGGGCATGGGGAAAGCATAGCAGTTGTAGGACTTTCGATACCTTGGAAGAGCTGCAGACGGCAGCGTAACCAGGCAGCAAAGGCACAAATCAACGCGCCCGGATGACGTGGAGGGTCTTCTAGGACTTCTCTGCATATTGAAAGCTTAAGACCTCTAAGGAAAACTGTAACGGACAGTGGTAAGACCTGCTATGCTATACGGCAGCGAGTGCTGGCCCCTGAACAAGAATCACGAAAGGCAGCTCACTCCGCTGAGATGAGGATGCTGAGGTGGGCCTGCGGCTGGACGCGACTGGACAGGGTCAGGAACGAGGATGTCAGAGCGGTCATGCAGACTGCCCCTGTCCAGCTGAAGGTGAGGGAACAGCGACTGCGATGGTATGGGCATGTGCTAAGGAGGCCACAGGACCACCCGATAAGGAAAGCGATGGACTTCGAAGCGCAAGGCAAGCGACCGCGAGGAGCCCCAAAGAAGAGGTGGAGGGACGTTATCAAGGAGGATCTAAGTAAAGTCATGACCATAGCAGAAGATGCGCTGGGCAGAACAAAGTGGACAGCGGACCCTACGACTGCTGGGACTAACGCTAGGGAGAAGAAAAAGAAGGGTCGTGGCAAAACCAATCGCCAAATGGCGCCAATTGGCGCCAGCGCCAAAAATGGATGTCACATTCGTGATCAGAACCCTCGATAACCCCTGTAGGATAAGTTTCAGCGAATTTTTTTGCCGAAATTGCTTGTAAGAATGACAAATAAGGAGTCAGAATGACGAAATTGATTGCGACGTTTACGAATTGGGGTGGTATAAAAACGAGCATGAAAAACGAGCATTTTAATAAATGCTGCAGGTGTCTGCAGCATTTATTAAAATGGTCGCAGCGTTGATGAAATTTGTTGCAGCGTTTCCGAAACGGAATGGGGGTGGATTGGGGTGGAAAACCTGTATTTTACCTAACCAAACCAACCAAAAGCCCCTCCCCTCTCCCCCTCCTTCCACTGGATAGACCCAAAATTTTTCTAGTTGAAAGGAACATTGGTTGTAATTATATACGTGATGCAATGATTTGCCACATTAGTGACCGCGCACGTTTTAGGCTTGATGACTGCAAAGAACTTCAATGGAATTTTTGGAACCCTTATTGGGGAAGTTGAAAAGGCACTATTCAACTATTACAACCCCAAAATCTCAAAATTTTATTTTTCGTCGAAACTTCGCCTATAGGGGTAATTCGATGCCCTGATTACGAAAATGACATTCATTTTTTGGCGCCATCTGGCGCCAATTGGCGCCAGTTTGGCGCCAGGGCTATTTTCACCAAATTCGCTGTAAACTTGTATACAGGGGTTATTTGGGGTCCTGATTACGGATATGACATTCGTTTTTAGCATTTCCACCGTTCAACGCACATTTTCCATTTTCCTGGGCCCTCTCACTTGTACATAATACCTAGGACTAAGCCTAGAAGGAGGGAGGACTCCGGGGTGGGTGAACCAGTCAACATGTGGCAAATGTTAAAGCGTATAAGATCACAGGATAAGTGTTATTCACTTCGGAGCACTCCCCTCCCAAAGGCTTAGTCCTGATCGCGAGCTGATCAGTGAGAGGGCGCAGACGAGCGGAAAACAGGCGCCCATGGCGCTAGCGGGAAAAATGAATGTTATATTCGTGATCAGGACCCCAAATAACCCCTATATACAAGTTTACAGCGAATTTGGTGAAAACAGCCCTGGCGCCTTGGCGCCAAATGGCGCCAGCGCCAAAAATGAATGTCATTTTCGTAATCAGGGCATCGAATAACCCTTATGGGAGGAATTTCGGCGAATTTATAAATTTATGGGAGGAACATTCATTTTTTGAGATTTTGGGATTGTGATAGTTGAATAGTGCCAAAAAACTATCATTTCATATAGAGAAGCAAAGATTTCTGAAAGAAGATGATTAAAATGCAAAGCAGAGATTTACATTTCTTGCCAGAACATGCCATGCAAAGTTCCATAACGGCGGCAGACTATAGCCCACATATGGGCTGCACTGTCTTCAAGGTGTTAACAAATAAACAAGCGAAACTGGGTAATCAAAGGAAAAATTACAAATAAGAAGCGCACTTTATCAACAGCAGTATTCTTCATAATCGAGTCCGATAGTGGCGCCGCTACAACAACTGGAGACGAGCCGTCTACTGCTACCCTTATGAGGGATCTACGACCTCTAACGGAACGGCGTCGACTT